CCCCCCGTCCCTTCCCCCCTACTGTATTCCCTCTTGCATATTTCCATCCTGATGCCTGTTGGCCCCACCCACCCCCAACCGCCCAGCCCCCAAGCTACCTGACGGGCACTGGGGGCCGGTGCCAGGGTTTCCGAGCACAGACCCTCACGTAATCCTTCTTGTTCACGTTTTCCAGGAACTTGACATAAAGGCGCTGGTACCGATTTTTCGCGTCCCCAAAATACCCCAAATACTACGGAGAGAAAGAGGAACTCCTTCACCCACCCCAGATAGGCAGCCCAACAAACCAGGACTCCCACCCTGCCCTGGGGCCACCATGGCAGCCGCCTGGAGCCTGCCGGGAGGTGAAGACCCCCTTCCAGACACACTTTATACCAAGGGTGAATCAGAGCCATGTGTGAGGGGGACCCCGGCTTCCAGACACCCCCCCGCCCCCGGGCCGCCCCCCCCGAGTCCTCGCTCCCCTCTGCAGACTTACATTACTGGTGGCACAAAACTGCCGCTGCCCATCCTTGATTTCTGGAGTGAATTTCTGCAGCAGGGCCTTCTGGACTCGCCAGATGGGTGGGGGCTCGCGCCCTGTCTGTAATGCCAGCTGGGGGGGGGCACAGCGAGGCCAACAGGGTCAGCATCCATTCCTGCCCCTCCCGCCCCCAATTCCTAGCCCCCTGTCCTCCCCCTACACCCCCTTAGAAAAAAGACATCATCGTCAACAAGCATCAACAAACATGCGGCTGACAGGTCTCTTCTGGCCCCAGGGAGGCAGGGATGCAGCTCGAGTCTGGTCCAATACTCACAACCAGGATGCTCATTCTGGGGCTCCAAGGTTTTAGTTATTACAGCTTTACGGTGTGATGGTATAAGCTTCCCGCGTGACTCAAAATAATGACAAAACCTGAGCACCCACCGACAATTTTCTAGATACCGTGTTGGGCCCCGGGGTACAGTGGCAAGTGAGACAGACAAAGCCTTCCATGGGGTCTTCATTACAGAAATAACAAGACAGACAAGCAAAGAGACAAAACAGGGCGAGGTTGTGGCTGGTGCCAAGGACAGACAGGTGACAGGTCACCTGAGACCATTTATTTCATCAGCCTGTCCACAGCACGGCAGGACACAGTGATAGAAAGGCTCCCCCACCTCCACTCCCCCCACCACACTCAGACCACTACCCCCACTCCGAGGCTTGTGTGTCCCCGGCTAGGCACTGGGAACGGGCAGCTGTGGGTCAGACCCAGCATCTGATCTCAGCAGTGAGCGGGGAGTGGCAGGGGAGCCACACATGGGTGCAAAAAAATAACAGCACAAGTAATACATGTACTAGTGGCAGATACCCTGGGAGCCTAGAAGAAGGACTCTGAACTTAATCCAAATCCAAGAATGCTTCCTGGAAGGGACAACTAAATGAGTCCTGGAGGGACCATGTCTTCCGTGAGGGGGCTGGCAGATGACCAGGGAAGGCCAGGGAAAGTGTGCGACAGCTGTGCCTCTAGAAGAGAGGAACTGACAGGCACAGAGAAGTAAAGAATAAGAACATGGCGGGAAACAGGCACCGGGCATGTGATAACCCAGAGATGAATGAGGGGCAGGCCCTGCAGTCAAAGAATCCACAGTCAAGTGATAAATGGGATTCAGATGATAACTCTAATTGATTGATCGTGGCTGCCCTGAGCACCAGGCTCAATGTGCTGGGATCAATTAGTGATGTCTGCCACTGGTAGCAGCTACAACACTGGATCCTGCGTGCCAGGTACTGGCTGTCTACCCTTGGTTTTGGGTCAATTGCTGTCCACATCCACGATTTTTCATGTCCCTCAGATCAGGCAGGGGAATACAAAGAAGGCGTTACAATAACCTGATGAAAATGAGGTCCAGAAAGGCTCTTGGCTAAAGAGTGAGGCAGGATGAGACAGGGGTGTAGGCCTCCCAACCCCAAATGCCTTCCTCCAGGATACCACGGTTCTGTCCTCCCTCGTGGCTCCTCAGGGAGCCGGGCCAGAGGACCAAGCATTGAAAAGTCCATTTCAAATCCTTTTCAAGGACTGAAAAGTTCATTTGCATCCTGCCCTGCTCCAAAACCTTCCGGGGCCCCCACTGCAGATTCTGCAGCCTGGCACAGAGAGACTCTGCCTCAGTTTCCTCTCCCTTCTCCTGCCCCTGCCCAGCAGGCCATTTGGATCTCTCAAAACTCAGCAGACAAGCCGCAGACTTTCTGACCTCCAGGCTTTTACATACGCAGGGCCCCCACCAGGCGTGCCTTTTCCCTCTTAATGTGAATATGATGTTCCCTGTTTCAGTTCTCAGAAGCTTGTAGAAATCCACCAGAGCAGCCCCCACAGCCTGGGGAGATCACCCCCTCCTCTGTGTCTCCTTCCACTGCCTATCTGCCTCCTCCAAGGTACCGGTTAATTCTCTAGCTGGACTTGGGCCCCTAGGCTAACTACATTCCATTTGGGCTTGGCATCTTCCCCCAAAACCACTCTTCCTCCCAGGATTCCACCCCCCACCCCGACCCCAGTCATTGGGCTCAAGCCCCTGACATCATCCCTGCCTGCTCCCCAACCAGAGCCAGTTAGTCCCAAAGCCAGGTCCTTCCTGCCTCTCCTCAAGTCCATCATATCACTGACCACGCCCACTTCCCCTTCCTAGGGAAGTTGCCCCACCCACAGCCCCTACTCAATGGAAGCCACAGCTGATTGGAGGAGATCAGAGTAGCGGCAGCCAATCAACAGGCAAATCCTGAACCCCATCTTGACTCCAAATGCTGAGCTGGACCAATCAGACGCTCTTCTGGGAATCTGAACTGTGACAACTGAAGCTGAGACAAGGGTGGTAAGCAGCAGGATGTGAGTCAGCTAGAAGCAAGGAGCCTGGTGTTAAGGAGAAAGCTACAGGGTTCACCAATAGGGGAGTCAGTGTCACAGAACTGAGGCAGTGAACAGACTGTCATCAGGACTGGATACTTCCCCAGCCATCTGTCTGCTGGCCAGGGGTTCTAGCAACCACTGGACAACCCAGAATGGATTCTCAAGCAGGTGCCCATTGATCTCATCCCAGGACGATCTGGCCCCTGCCCACCTTCCCAGCCTAAGCACTCACTGCCCAGCCACTCAATCCCTTGCATTCCTGCACATCACAAACACCATGCTTTGCCCCTCACCACAGGGCCTTTGCACAGACTGTTCTCTCTGCCTGGACCATCCTCCCCATACTTTTCTCCATCCTAACAAACTATTACATGCTCAGAGTTTACATCCTGCTAAATCTTCAACATCCCCCAGTACAGGGAGTTAATACTATCACTCCCATTTTACAGAGGAAGCAGAAGCAAAGAGGGGGCTAACCCCATACTGCCCAATTCAGCAGCCCCTCTCCCCACACGTGGTTCTTAAGCACTTAAAATACAGCTGATTCAAATCGATATGTTCCATGAGCATAAAACATACCCTGGATGTCGAAGACTTGGTATGCAAAAAAGAACGGACAACATCTCATTAACTTTTTCCAGATTGATTACATGCTGAAATCATATCTTAGACATGCTGGGTTAAAGAAAATACATTCCTGTGGCTAATCTCACCCATCATTTAACTTTTCTTAAACACGGATACAAAAAAGTTTAAATGATGTACATGGCTCATATGAAAATTCTACTGCACTCATTGTTCTAGGACAAACTACGGGCTGTGGCCCATTTTTATAGATCTACGAGCTAAGAATGGTTCCTACATTTTTAAAGGATTGTAAAACAAACAAACAAACAAAAACCAAGAATATGTGGCAGAGACCCTACGTGGCCTGCAAAACCTAAAATATTTACTATTTGGCCCTTTACAGAAAAAGTATGCCAAGTTCCACACTAGAGATTTGCCCAAGATCACCAAGATGAGCAACAGAAGCAAAGCTTATAGGGCACTTTCTGCGTGTCACCCACAGTTGGAACGCTGGACAAGCTGTAATGCCCGAGTCCTCACATTGCGTGAAGGAGCTACTAAAATGATCAGCCCCATTTTACAGATAAGGAAGTGGAGGCTCAGGAAGGTTCGACACCAGTCCAGCTCAGAAGTGGCAGAGATTCGAACCAGGCATGTTAACATCAAAGCCGGGCTCTCAATAAGCATGCTGCCAGCCTGCCCCGACTCCAGCCACATGAATGAGTCCCCAGTGTCTGCATGAGTGGCTCAGTCCTGGAGCTGTGTCCCCCATTACAACGCACACTCATGCTGTATTTTAAGCATCTGAGCCCTTCCTTGGCCCTCTCCCCTGCCCCGTGCCAGCTGGGAGGTGGTATCAGATGGCCCTGGCTCCAATCCCGGCTTGGCACCTGCCACCTGAATGATTGCCTCTCTCTGAACATGAATTTCCTCATCTATAAATTGGGGACAGGCACAGTCTCCACTCCAGAGCTCTGTTCATCTGGCCCAGTGCTGGGCACCCAGCCGCACTGGCTGCTGCCATCATCAATGTTTGACAGAATGTACAGAGAGAACAGTGAATCAGGAGCTGAGAGCACAGGCTCCCGGGGCCGGTGGAGCTGGGTGCGGGTGCCTGGGATGGTTACTTTACCGCGCTGAGCGTCAGTTTCTTTCCCTGTAAAATGGGGATATTAACCCCTATAACAAAAGGTGATTATAAAGATACAACTCAGAGACAGATGGTAGTGATGGTTGCCCAACATAAAGACTTAATGCCACTGAACGGTACACTTAAAAATGGTTAAGGGCCGGCCCCATGGCTTGGCGGTTAAGTGCGCACGCTCTACTACTGGTGGCCCGGGTTCGGATCCCGGGTGCGCACCGACGCACTGCTTCTCAGGCCATGCTGAGGCCGCGTCCCACATACAGCAACCGGAAGGATGTGCAGCTATGACATACAACTATCTACTGGGGCTTTGGGGAAAAAAAGGAGGAGGGTTGGCAATAGATGTTAACTCAGAGCCGGTCCTCCTCAGCAAAAAGAGGAGGATTAGCATGGATGTTAGCTCAGGGCTGATCTTCCTCACCAAAAAAAAAAAAAAAAAAGGTTAAAATGATAAATTCCGTCATATGACGTGGTCACAGTTAAACAAAAAAAAAGGATCAAACTAAATTCTGACTGTGACATCTCCCAGATCTTGTCGCCTGGGAGTTGACAGCTGTTCCTATCACTGCTCTGACATCTTCCTCACCTGTCCGAGATTGATGGCCAAATAGGCCTCAGAAGTTGTGAAGTTAAAATGAAATAATGTACACCGGACACCATGGGAGTGAGTATGACCATGGGGGACGCAGGAGGCCTTGCCAGCGAGGGACACGCAAGACTCGAGGCCTCAGGAATGTTCTGGTTGCTGGCTGGGTGGTGGGGACATGAGTGTTCACGCTAGCATTTTGCTTTATAACCTACATATCTCTTATGCATGTCCTTCTGGATGTATCAAATATGCTAAAAAGATGATAAAGTATGGATGAAAGGATATGCTGTCTAGGGTTGGTGGGGTAGACCAGGGGGCAGAAGGTGCTGGAGTGGAGAGGAAACAGGACCAGCCAGGAGGTGCCAATGGTGGACGCTGAGTAATGGGTACACACAGTCCCATGATTCCATCTGCTCTACTTTTCCCCCAATAAAATACATTAAAAATAATACAGCAAAAAACACATAAAGTTCATCTCACAAAACACACTTAAGAAAGTATAATAATAGTCATTATCCTTATAATTAATTCATCCCACAAGTTCTCCATCCATATTTTAGAAGAAACGACATCCAAGATTAAACATGACAATGTCCATCAAGGGCCCTACATGGTTGCTGCCTCATTGTCAATACCCAGTCAGTGACAGTGACTAATACGGAGAATGGCCTTAGCTTTTGGTGTCACCATCAGGGTGATAACGGTTTGCTGACCTACCCTCATGCCCTGTGACAGGCACTACACGTGTCTGATGTCACCTCCCCATGTCAAACACTTATACTACCCCACTCTGCCATGGTATGGGGAAAGCAGCCATGGCCAATATATAAATGAATGGGCGTGGCTATATGCCAATAAAACTTTATTTATAAAAACAGGCAGAGGGCTGGATTTGGCCCGGGAGTTTGCAAACCCTTGGTGTAGAGTAACCAGAAGTAGTGACTGGGCTGGTCCACATAAAGCGTTCAGGATGTGGCCTGACATACAAGCATTCTCGAACAATGCATTGGCTATTATATTTGCAAGTTATGTGTGTATTCAGAGGTACGTTATGTCACCACCTCAGGTTTCCACCACACTGTAAAGCTGTCTGTCTTAGCTTGTGCCATTACTGGAAGCTCCATGAGACCAGACCCTCACCTGCTTTGTTCCTTCCATAACCTGAGCACCCATAGCAGAGTATCGGCAATAAACGTCAATGGCTGTATCTTACTTATAGGTAACAGACGTATACACACCCAAACCACATCTCAGAGGCCCATGCGTCCCCCACTGTGCCAGCCGGCCACCTCCAGCAGCCCCATCAGACCGTGAACTCAGGAGGGCCCCTGCACCTGCAGCCCCATCACCGGGCCTGTCATCCAATAGGCACTCAACAAACGCTCGAGGGACCAAGTCCCCGACGGGGACTCACCTTGAGGGACGGGATGTCCTCGGCGCGGATGACGAACTCGTCGCGCTCGCGGAAGATGCCCTCGCCGCCGCTCTCGCCCGCCTCCTCGTCCGTCTCCCCGCACACGGCCGCCGTCTCCTGCTTCTTGGCCAGGTGCAGCGGCCGGGCGTCCGGCGGCTCGGGGTCGTCGGGGGACGGGGCGGCGGGCTCCT